CATCTAGATAAACATTAGCATTGATTTTCAGAATGAAGATAAAATACTAACCAGGTAAGTAACATTATGCAGATTTCAGTGAATATTCAGTGATGATGAGATACACAGTTGACGTAACCATGCCTGTGTAGCATGTCATAAACACCTGCCTGGACACTGGGATGCAGCTGGGACTACCTCAGCAGAGACCTGCGCTCACCTTTTCCCTGTGTTAGCAGGGTTGCTATGCTGTGCACCTGAGCACCTGGGTTCAGGTACTCAAAGCCTCAGAAGCAGTGATGCTTAAAGTGTTGACAGAATGCCACATGCATCCAGATCTACTGTAATGGTTCCAGGCCCTAGCCCAGATTTACCCTGTTTCAATCTCTGAGGGTAATGCCAGGGCACCTGGAAGTTTAACAAGCCCATCAGGTGTGTTTTTCACACTCTAAAATTTGAGAACCATTGTCCTAGAGGCTATGATCTTTTCTGATGATCTGCCTGTCTTGTTTTATTGCTTGCACATTTTTGATTTTCAGGTCTATTTGTCTGACATTCTCCTTTTTGTAGACCTCAGTGTTCTTGACACTTACTTAGCCATCTGATGCTCGTAGCCATACCTTATTTCAATGTTTGCTATGAATTTTGGAGCTTGCCTTCTTTTTTTTGTTTTTTTGAGACAGAGTCTCAGTCTTTGCCCGGGCTAGAGTGAGTGCCGTGGCGGCGTCAGCCTAGCTCACAGCAACCTCAAACTCCTGGGCTCAAGCAATCCTCCTGCCTCAGCCTCCCGAGTAGCTGGGACTACAGGCATGCGCCACCATGCCCAGCTAATTTCTCTATATATTTTTTAGTTGTCCAATTAATTTCTTTCTATTTTTAGTAGAGACGGGGTCTCGCTCTTGCTCAGGCTGGTTTCGAACTCCTGAGCTCAAACGATCCACCCGCCTCGGCCTCCCAGAGAGCTAGGATTACAGGCGTGAGCCACCGCGCCCGGCCAAAGGAGCTTGCCTTCTTTATCCTTAACCCCAGACAGTCTCCTAGCATTTTTAGGGAAATAAAAAAAATGCACATAATTTTCAAAATGTTATAATGGAGGATCGTTACTTTGAAGATAAAGCCATGAGATTTTTTTTGTTTGTTTGTTTTTTTACTCCAGAGAAAGATGTGTTTTATCATGTAGGTAAAGGGAAAACTATGCCACAACTTTATTTAAAACAGACATTTTTAAAGTTCTACTTGCAGGTGGACTAGATTTGAAGTGGGAAGCAAGTCATGGCTTCATGGAAGACTGTATCTACACTTGGCCAAATTTTCTTCAGTATTTATAATGTCATACATATCTGTGGTTAAACAATTCTTAATAATTTTCAGCTGCAATTGTCCTAGAGATAATGCACAGACTAAATCATGGAAAAGCAAAGGTATAGCATTCTTTATAGTCTAGAATATAAATGCAATATAAAGGAAAATGCTGTAAGCCATTCTGTTCAGAATTTTTAGAAAAATCTGCACATTTTGACACAGAGTCCTTCAGTATATAAACAATTTCTAGGTAATTAATTATTCATGGAAAATATTTCATGTCATGATTGTAAATTACTGTAGTATAAGTTGGTAAAAGGTAATATTGCACTAATTCTTAGAGCCTGCTGTAAATGTTAAAGACATGTCACCTCAGTGATGGAAATGTCTCATTCAGATTCCGTGAAATATAGCTGAATGTTCTGTGTATATCGTGAGACACACTTAGCAGCACAACCATGAAGTCTAGAAACTATTGATGATTGGGCTTGGTGTTGTTCTCTATAAATTGCATTGATAGTTGATGAATAAAAAGTTACTCTGTTTTTTGACCAGGAAAGAGGAGTTAATGGGAACTTATGATAATGCCTATATTAGCAAGGGGCTTAAGAGTTTCTTATGATATCAATCTGGATTATGTGATTCAAAATATCAAACTACTCAAGTACAGGATGGAGGAAAAAGACTGAAGGATTTGGCGGACTGTAGGAGCACTTTGAATCAGTTGTAAGATATGGTTGCTGTTATAGTTAGCTCGGTTTCATATAAATACTCCTTGCATTTATTAATAAAGACAATTACCAACAAGTCAGGAAATATACTGTTAAGATTTTTGTCATACAGGAATGCATCTACTGATAACTGTATATATTAATTTGAGGTACTTACTTGGAAGATTTATTTAACATGCATAGTAGGATAATATCTTGAATAACCCTTTCACAGTGGAACAGCTTATCATCCTGGGTTGGCTTACATGGGTCACCGTAAGAAATAGTCTAAGAGGAAGGTATCCTGTACCATTTGTGATGTAGGCTATTAATTAAAACCATTTTTCATAATGTTATGTAGATCCCTTGTACAAGAATCAACATGTTTCCTTTTTTACATTTTAATTCTATTCTAACTTCTTCCTAAGATAGAGATAGTTTTTTTTATAAATAAGTAGTAAGAAATTATTGTCACTGGAATTGAGATTTATATTCCTATTTCGTGGCAGTCTTTGCATAGTGAACTTATGACAAAGTACATGAAATTCTGTAAATTTTTGCCAAATATCCACCTTCAAGATGAAAAGGAATAAAAAAGGAAAATGCCTAAAATTTAAACTGTACTTGTAATATAAATAATCAAGTTAACATCATAAAGCTCTCTTATTTAACTTTTCATTTTGGCAGTTTCTTATTGCAGGGATGAGTTGTCATTTTAACTTACATTTTTATAATTGGAAAAACTATCAGTGATTATTATGGAAATATGAAATTAATGTTCTGAATTTACAAAAACAAATATTAAAAATAGAAACATTGAGCTAAACAAATCAGACATTTACCCTAGATTTAAAGAAATCAGACATATTTGAAGCCAAAATTCTCTTACAGAGGACACATGTAGATTTCTACTGAAAACGTCCTTTTTTTTGTCCAACTCAATGCATTAGTTATGATAGATTAGCATGTAGAAACATATAGACTACAACATTTAGATAGGCTCAAAATAGACATTTATATGCAGCTTACACAACAGTTGGATTTTTGTGTTTTGCTCAGTGGGCAGCTTTCCTTTGTTGGTGAATCAGTGCCTCGGCTCCTTCTGTCTTGTGGCTCTTCCCCGCTTCTAATGATTAGTGCTTGTGTTAAGAATCACTTTTTTTACTATTCATGTAATCATGGCGGGCACTCCATAAAAACTTATTTGATGAATGAGTATGCTATGCCAACTTTTAATAAATAGGGCGAAACACTCTATGGAAAGTTGCTGCCTTTAAATATTTTTTCTCGTTTAATTTCTTTTCTTCTCCATCCTGGGGGTGGGTATATAAATTGAGGTCTGCTAAACATTTAAACAATCTCATATCCTTTGTGAGTATCCATGGAGCCCCTTTCCCATGCTGGGGAAAAGAGGAAAAAGAAAGGAAAATTATGAACATTAAAGTTATGATTTTGAAATTATCTCTTTTTAAAATAATATAGGTAACATGTATGCTATATGCATGTGTTTACATATGTACATAAAACACCGGAAAAGAGTTGCAGAGTCTTTTACCATGGGTTCTGTCTGCTGAGACTGACCAGGAAGAAACTGGAAGGGGAAGGAGACCTACATTCAGTATATAACTATTTGTACAGTTTGAACTTGCTCTTGTGCATACGTTGCTTCTTAAAATAAAAACAAGAATAAGTGTAAGGAGAAAAATAATTACACTTGAAAGTTTCAACCAAGTAATCAGACATATTTGCATTTCTCCTGACTTTAGGGGTCAAACATCACCGACACCTGCACTGAAATGCTAATGTGTGGAGTCTTACTGAAAATTTCTTCTGGAAATATTCAAGAACGGGTGTTTTTTCTTTTCGATAATCTTTTGGTGTACTGCAAAAGAAAACACAGGTAAGGTCATAAACAGGGCACACTTCCAAAATGGTTTATCCAGTGCACGTGTTTCCCCCGTTCCTCTGTATTTCCCAGGACTCATCATCCATCGGTCAACTTCTTCGTGTACTCGCAGGCCATTCTATGGTTGTTCTCCGCACCTTCTTGTAAAACCTAACCAGTGTCACTGTCATCCGATGATGCTGCCTCCCCAGAGCCCTCTCAAGGAGAGGTGCTGTTTGTCCCCGCGCCGTGCCTCAGGCCCTGTGTCTTCCCTGCTTCCTCATCCTGCTCCCCAGCCATCCCCCGTTCTGTCAAGAATCCCAGCACATGTGAAGTTCATGCCATGAGTCTTTCCTATCCACTACCTTCCCCCGTTGACTCCCTTTTACAGAGTACTTAACATCTCCCTGCCACACATGCTTTCAGTAACTGCTCTAGTTCTTGAATCATTTTGTTGTTATTCTACTCTTGTCACCATTTTTGGGGTGTTCGAAGCTCACATGGATGATCTAGCGATTTTGGACCTGCAAGCCCACGGTCTCTTCACCTGCTACGATCCTTTCCTTCATTACACCTGAGCCACCAGCCCTGTGGTCACACCTTTACCTTATTAACACCACTAGTTATAAAGTTGAAATCTCAATGTTAAGCATCCCACTCTGAATGTCATCCCCCATCTTCCCACCCCTCCTCCAAAAAATAGCTTAAGTATTCTCACTTAAGCTAGTTTTTGGCCATTGACCCTAACACTTTGGCTCCAAATATTGCCTAATGTCGCTTTTTTTTTTTTTTTTTTTTTTTTTGAGACAGAGTCTCACTGTGTTGCCCCGGCTAGAGTGCTGTGGCATCAGCCTAGCTCACAGTAACCTCAAACTCCTGGGCTCAAGCGATCCTCCTGCCTCAGCCTCCCGAGTAGCTGGGACTACAGGCATGCGCCACCATGCCCGGCTAATTTTTTCTATATATTTTTAGTTGTCCAATTAATTTCTTTCTAATTTTAGTAGAGACGGGGTCTCGCTCTTGCTCAGGCTGGTCTCGAACTCCTGAGCTCAAACAATCCGCCCGCCTTGGCCTCCCAGAGAGCTAGGATTACAGGCGTGAGCCACCGCGCCCGGCCCTGATGTTGCTTTTCTTAAAGTCCCTTCTTGTACGTCACACTCTGTCCCATCTCTCTGCTCTCCTTCACAACAAACTCCCCTGCAAGAGTTTCATGCTGTCACTTTCTCTACCTTGTCACTTCTTGTGCTGTCCTCAGCCACATTGGATGAGGCTTTAGTCTGGTCTACTCCACTGAGCTGCATGTCAGTCACCGTGGACCTCCCTATTTCCTAATCCAGCGGTCACTTTTCTGCTCTCTGAGGTTTTACCTGTTTTGTTAGCAGCATTTCGCTTAGTTGAGCAATTCTTCCTTCTCAAAACACTATCTCCTCTTTACTCTTGTGACACCCCACTGTCTTGGCCGAGTGTGGGACTGCTGTGGGCTCTGCTTCTGATCTTTTTTCCTCTTCATATTTGACTCTTCCTGGGTGATTTTATCCAGTCGTGTAGCTTCATGACCCACGTCTATGTCAGTTTTTCCCAAATCTCTATGCTTAGCCCAGAATTCTAGAGTTCCGTACCCTGTCTATTGGATATCTCACTTGTGGTGGCTGTAAAGATTCTCAGCTATAACTTGGAAGAAATGGGATTCTTGATGTCCTTTCCTGAAGCTGCTACTCTCCTAGCTTTCCCCATCTGTTGGTGTCCGCAGTGCCAAAAAGTAGGAGTTAGCCTTGGATCCTCTCTTTCCTTCAACTCCCCACACCCAATCTATTAGAAAATCTTCTTGCATCTGCTTTTAAAACATGTAAAAATCTCTCCACACCTCTCTGTCTCCATAACTGTCCTTGGGTGACAGCAGTTGTCTCCTCACTGGCCCCAGTGTATCCTCTCTTATTGCTCCACAACTTATGCTCTACACAGAAACCAGAGCATCTTTATGACACAAATCAGATCGTATTGTTTGTCACCTTGCTCAGAGCCCTCATTGGCTTCCTAGAATGAAATGCACACTGCCTAGCCTGGTTTGCAGATTTCTGCATGGTCCATCCCCACCTTCTGCCACTTCCGAGCTCATCGCATCCCACTTCTCTCAACACTGCTCCCCCTACCTTCCTTTGCCTTCTTTTTCTCCTGTTCCTTGATTATGCCATGTGTGTTCCCTTCACAGGGCCTTTGCACCGGCTGTTTTCCCTTCCCAGTGTGCCCTTTCCTTTGGGTTTTTCATGGCCAGATTATTAATGTCTTTTAGATCATAGTTAAATATCACTTCCTCAGCAATGCCTTCCTGACCGCCCAGTCTAATGCAGCCTCCCAGTCACTTGTTATCAGTATCTGGAAAGTGCTTGTCACTTGCTCATTCTGCCTTCACTGTTTATTTGCTTGTTTCCTGCCATCTCTACTAGATTAGACTGCAAGGTCCACGGGAATCTTATTTCTCATTTGCTGCTATTTTCCTGGAGACTGGAGCAGACCTGCCATACTATAAAAAACACTTAAGAAATACTTACAGAATGAATGAATAAATGAATGAAACCCAAACTAGTCCCCTGTAGCTTGGCCATCATTAGTTTGAATAATGTTATCTATTAATGTTATTGATGTAGTGTTATTTGTTTTAAAGCATGGATATAATTTTTTCTTCAGAATGTTCTTATTTTATAGGGTGTTTTCTCGAACTCTTGGAAAATTTTTTTTGCATGTTGATTAAGCAAAATAGTAGAGTGGCATTTAATTGAGAAGTTTCCTGAGGCTTTAGGTGCTTCTTCCTAGCTGTATCTAGGACACTTGAGTTTCAGCAAAATGGTACTAGTAGACCTCATTCAATTTAAAGGTAAAGCAAGTGGTTGAAAACGCAGAACTTTGAGTGACTATTTATTGCAGGTTCAGAAATTAGAAAACTATAGTCAAACATTTTCTGATAGAGGAAAATGAGACACAAAACTTTAAGGGAGTATCATTCTTCATCTCTTATGATGGGTTTAGCTAAGTCAGTTAGCAAGATGCCCAGAGCAAGTTAGCAAAATTTGGCAGCTGTGTTGATCATATATGGTAATTTTGCCACGTGGATTGTAATATTAGAATTCTCTAGTAGGAGGTATTAATTCAAAAATGCAGTGACACAAACTGAGGAAACAGGATTGCAACTTGTACCTTCATGAAAGGGAACAGGTTAGGATTACAGCCAAAAGAGAGTTAAATTGTTGATCTCTGTATCTTAACAAGCTTTTTTAAAAATTTCTTTTTATCATATATGAAAATGAACCTGTTTATTTCTTTCACTACGCTCTTCTAAATTCTTTGAGTTCGGTCACAAGATTGGGATAAATGGAAATAGGACTTAGGAAGATGTAGGAAAGGCTGCTAATTTTACTTGCATGCTAATTCATTAAAAAGTTGTACTGTGAATCAAGGTGTTTTGGTGCAGTTATTAAAGACATCTGCTGGAGAATGAAACCTTTCATTACAGTGGATCTCATCCTTATGTTAATAAATGCCTGCCATCAAGTGCAAAGCTTTTGCAAAATTAACCTTAGTGGATAAATTATGATATTACATGATCTTATGGTTGTAATTGTTTTAATAAGTTAAACAACAGGAAGAGTTTTACAAAATTAAAATACTGCTGTTTAGCAAATAATCAATATACAATGTGGATCAAATATATAGTGGTTAGAAATGGAAATAACTAAATAGATCAACATGTCCACTCCCTTCTGGGCTTGGGGAAACTGTGAATAAACCATCTGTTCCCTTCCTTTAGAATACTGTATCTCCTTTATCAACTTCACCTTAGCATATACTTTCTAAGAGCTAGAGATCCTTCAGAAAGTGTGAGTAAACTGAACCTCTTCCAAACTTCCATAATGTTGTGATTACAAGAACCAAAGACCTGATGAATTTATTTTAATTCTAGATTTACATTCTGTAAAGAGCAGCGTACCAGAGTAGGCATCCCAGCTCTGGATATTTCTAATACTATTAATCTTAAAAGAAATTAGTTTTTAAAATATAATTTATGATATAGTATTTGATGCATACAATACGATATTGCAGAGTTTGGCTTGTTTATGGGCTTTAAAAGATAGTATCGTAGTGTATTTAGTTTTTTGCAATTTACATTTTCCATTTAATATTGTTTCTAAAATATATATCCATTTTGTGTGTAGCAATAATTTATTTACTTTACCTGCTGCGTAATATTCTATTGGTTTAATATATCACAAATTTAATTAATCACAATTTAATTATTCATTCTCTTATCAACGGACTTTAGGGTTGTTTCTAGTTTTCTAGCTGTTATAAACATTCTTGTACATGTATCCTGGTGACCACTGAAACACATACTTAGGAATGAAATCTTAGAATCAAGATATGCCAATATGCAATGTTATAATATAGAGCATAATTATTTTCAAACCATAAGCTTTTCAATCTTTAAACTTTAGTAGAGCCATTTTCTGAAAGGATCAAAAATCTCTCTGAGCTAAATGTTATAGAATTAATAAGACACTTATTGGAATTTCATATTGAGTATTAATTATTGCCTAAGAGAAATACATAAAGCCTGTACAGAGTTCATAGCAGGATCACAGAAAAACTAACACTTTGAAAAAAAATTCAATGATGGATTCTTATATATATATATATATACATGATTATTTTGCCTGTGATTAAAACTGTTGCTCAGGATATTAAGCCTTTTAAATACGATTGATTTTAAGTATGATATACCAACCTACAAGAAATTCTTTTTTTCAAGACACCAGGATACTGTTTTCTAGCTGGAAGAGTTTGTGGTTACTTTTACCTTACTCTGCTTTGCATTCTTCTTGATATTTGGCCTGCTTTGATGCCAACCTTCGTAGCTACCTGGCCTGAATTCCTAATTTATAGCATTGATTTATGCTCATCCACAAAGAATATTTAGAGGTTACTTTCAAGATGAACATGAGGAGTACAGGGTGGTGAAGATTTAGGGCTGACAAAGCTTCCAGTCAGAGTAAATTAATCAATTTAATTAGTTTTCTTTAGTAGTGATGAAGGACTACTACCTTGTGATGAAGGTGTAGGACAGTTAAGCCAGGAACATGCAATCTTTTCTAAGGAAGGAGCCCAGGAAGTGTGACAGCATTTGGAGACACCTCCCTGAACCCACCGTATCCACACCAGGGCAGGTGTCTAACTGCGAAGGAGAGGAGGAGGGAGCATTGCAGTTAGTGTAGTCACATCTCGACTTGTGCTAGCTGTGGCTATATAACACGGAAAGTTAATAATTATTTCAGTATATTAAATTGTTAGCCAGACTTTTAGTCAGTGAGTCAATTTAAACAATTCAGGTTAATTGAAATCTCTTGAGTGATTAGGTATTTTTTGATCTCCTTGAATTATTTCTTAGAATCTTTCCTGTTTAATTTAATAAAAGAAAAACATTTTCAAAACATCTTCCCTGGGCGCTTAGTGATTCAAATACAAACATCCGCAATTACCTAATTCATTGGTACAAATGTACATCTGTAAGCCTGGATTTTTTTACTTTGTGTTACATACATTTTAAGATGAAAGAGGGGCACTAGACTTACTATACACAAAGTTTTGAAATGTTTTGGACTATTTTAAAAATAAATAAGGCCTTTGGGAAGGATTATAAATGTCTTAATAGACTTGTTCAACAAGTACGCAGTGATCATATCATAAAAACAATAATATAGGAAAAATATTTTTACAGCTGGAGATCTTTTAGCTTAAGAATCTCCAGCACAGCCAGTTCTTTGAAGAGGGATCATAGGTACTAACTGAATCTTTACTGGGGCTTCAGTAATGAAGGTGAAAGGAACAAATGAACATTTTGGATAACCAACCTTTAGTGTCTGTCAGAGTCTGATTACGCACCACCGAAGTCCTATGTTGAGTAAAAGCACATACTCTCCACCTGGAGGCAATCCTTAGCTCGAAACTTCAATTTATTAAGAAATTAATCCATAAGTCACATCTCGTAAAGCAACCAGTGCTGTCGTGAATGGGAGGACACAAGTACAAAACACCGACATTTGGTATTGTTGATTGAATTGCTATCTTTTTTGAAAGAATTGCTTAAAATATATTGTTTTGCATTAAGTTTAATAACAAAGTCTTTCTGATTTCATTCCATCCTAAGACGGTTGAAGAACAGCAAGGCATCTACAGACGGACATCGGTACCTTTTTCGTGGCCGGATCAATACAGAGGTGATGGAAGTGGAGAACGTGGATGATGGCACAGGTAAGTGGTCAGTGGCTTTTAGGTGGAATGCCAACAGTAAACTCCCTCACGTGAATAATTCATTTGCAGTGCATCAGAACTTAGGGATACGTTGTTAGGTAGAGCGGTCAGGTAGAGGAAAGAGAAAGGTGAGATAAGGGAGTGGAAGACTATTGTAAAAGTGGGAAATTATATTTGACAAACACGCTAGCATCAAACAGAGATATAGAGAAATTGTTGAGTAGTGTCCTATCTGAAAATGCACATTCCATTTTAATCATAGGACATTCACAGTTCCTGGAACAGAGAGTATGTATACAGAAAATATTTAATGAATGAATTGGTTTTCTTTAAGTTACACTATGTTTTATAAATATATGTGTGATATTTTGTTACTGTAATGCATTCACTGTAGAATATAGCAAACTCCAGATTCGTTTTAGCTATACAGCTCTTACTAATATAGGTAGGTTGTCAATTTGCTTATAGAGGAAAGTTGTGAATGGAGGTAGTTTGTGTAATTTTAAGTGCTCATTTTAAATACCTTATTACTCGGAGGCATTAAATTTTTACTCTGTAGATTTGAAGGTATGGACTTTTATGAGCAAATTCATGAAATCATAATTAGTCAGAAACATTAAGTAAAATGAAGTTAAAATAAATTTTATTTTCTATTTGGAAAAAAAAGTTGTCTGTAAAATGAATGCTTAGTAAATTGAATCACATTTTCCCCCCCATAATTTTAATTGGAATTTCAAAGTTATGCTTCCAGGGGAAAAGACAAGATGAAGTAAAATATATTAGTTGTTGCTTAAGTGACTTTTATTTCCACCCAGAGAAATGTCTTTATAATATTCAATATAAACGTGGGGTTGAGGGACTAATTAGCTCCCCCCACCTCCCACATACCTTCCTTGCCATTCCGGGGTCCCAGAGGGGAGAAGAATGTTTATAATTTGTCAGGGGCATAGATTTTCAAATGCTCACTTGTAGGCGGTTTCTCTGTACCATTTTTTAGCATCTTAACAAATTGTCAGTACTTAAAATAGTGAACCGTGATTGCTGCAACTAAGAGGGAAAAGCATGCAGCAAGCAAAACTCTGGGTGGTGCCCGAGACTGGGCAGTCACCTCGGGAGCCACATGTTTGTGGTCATTGGTAGAGAGGCCCCTCCGTGGCTAACTGCGGCTGGAGGAGTGGAGATGCCCCAGTTCAAATTCCTTTCCATGCTGCGGACTGTAATGCAGTTGCAGGTACTCTCCTGCTAACATGTGGGGCCTGGTCGGCTGTCTTTCCATAGCAGAATGTACACATCGTTTTTTATACGGTGGCAATAATTTATTTTATGCTAAGAAGACTACGTAGTGACATTTGGAAGTGTTATCTGTCTAAAATGTCTAAGAGCTATCTTGCCTCTGTAACCTGAACATTCAAGAGAACACCCAAATGCCCACTCTATACTTCAGTTGGGAGGAAGTCAGATAGTTAAGGAAGCACACTCAAAACCTCCACTCTGTTCTTTATTGGCCCTGTCTACTGCTGATGGAACCACCTCTCCCCTGTTGCTTTGGCCGCCGGATGATGGGGGTGCCACCATTGGTACCATCTGCACTGGTAGTCTAAGTGACTTTTGGTGGTGATTACTATGATGACTGTGCCTATGGGCAAGTGGGGCACTAAATAAAGAAATGTGAGAGCCCAGGGCCTTTGCAGTCCTCAGTTCATCTGTGTTGGGTGGTAAGGGAGTGAGATCTTTGAGGGGTGACTTGGATAGAGCTTTTACGTGAATGGTCCTTGGATTCAATTCCGTGAAAAAATTCTATTGATGATAGTAAGATTCCAGCCTTCAGTGCCTTAGTTCCTGAGGATAAGGGCATTTTGGAAGATAGGGCCTAAGACCCTGTTGAGTATGAATTAGGGGGAGGACAGGACATTGCAGGATATTTAGTTGCCATAAATTAGTTGTCCCATGGAGCCTCTTGACACAAATTTGCAAGGCTTAGTTTACATTGAAAGAACATGAAGAAATTTATTAGGCTTTATATTATCAATAAGGGGCTTTTTTCCCCCCTCTCTTTTTTCTTGAACATACATAAACAGCATATAGCAGGAATTTGCCTGCAGATAGTTGCTACAAGGTCACTTAGAGAATTTTCAGGCTGCAATTGGATACCTTCCCCTAACTTCCTCAAGGAAAATTTAGTTTTCTCATGGGTGTATCAGCTGGGTCTCTGGAGGAAGTGTACATCCTCTCCCAGGCTTGGAAATTCAAAAATAGAATTTTTGAAGATGGATAGGATCTTGAAGATCAACTACTACACCTCATCAACATTTCATATGATGGAAATGAGGCCAGGTTTAAAAACTAACTTGTCCAAGTTTACCCAGCTCACTACAGAGCTAGAGTTAAGTCTGCTGCGTTCTCACGCCATGCTTTGAGAAATAGACCGGAGAACAGAAGCTCTATACGGGTTTTAAATCTACAGGGACCAAGCGGAGAGCAGGGAAGGAACATGGCCTGAGTGTGCAGAGGTTGATTTTGGTTGCTTATTTCTTCTAACAGATCATCTTGGTGCTGCACCAGTTTTCCTCCTTTCTTGATGCCTTAATCATTTCCATCATAGAATCTTCATTTATTTTTGGTGAGCTCAGGTTTCAAGTCTGCTATACTTTATACTCTGTAAATGAAACTCTGATGCTGACAGATCTCAGCAGAGCTGATTAATGTCCATATGGAAAGTTCTCTCCACACTTGGTCCTTGGATAAATTGAATGAGGGATGGGCAAATACAGTCAGCCTCATCTGCCATTGCTCACATGAAAACAAACAACTACGCCATATTTAGTTATAAATAATAAAAATGAATGAATTGAAATATATTTTTAAGGATGCTTAGAAGTTTTGATGGAAAATTGAATGGGAAGGTTTTCCTTCCATTTGAATTATACAAATACTGAGTATTTTTGTTTACTCTAGGTATAAGTAAAATACTTTTCTTTTCTAAGGAAGAAGCTCTAGCAGACAAAACTTGCGGAAGAAATAATTACTTAGAATCCTTTCAGTCAACATGTAAATATCTCAAATCTTTTGAGAAATAATATGATTGTAATTTTATTTAAAATGCTTAATGACTTGGATTATATCATAATTATATCTTAGTCTATAAAAAATTTAATTAAATGGTGGTATGATGTGCGGAAGTATAAAAATTTGTATATGTATTTATTTAAATCTATCCATGTTATTGTTTTATGTGTTCATGGAAGATGTTAACTATTGAGTTTGTGGACAAATTTTCATTCCACCATTGTCTAGATTTCAACTCTCATTTCAGTGAATCTGACTTAATTCCTCTTTGAAGATTTTTTCTGGAAATATTAGTTTGATCGTGATGCTATCAGAAAAATCCAGCTTAAGAGCAATAGTAGGAAAGCTGTTCGACTTCCCAGAATTAATTTTCATGGTAATTTTCATAGTGCGTATTTGGGAAGCCATTCAGAAAGTAGCACCAGATCTCTTGTATTCTCTGGTAAGAACCAGTTTATTTGTGTGGTTGGACAGAGGGCAAGAGGGTTGACCTTTGGAAAATGTGGTCTATAGTTCAGTATTGGGCAAACCTTAGATTTCAACACAATAATCAAATTCAAATTGGATAAGATGGAATTTTTTTATTCTTAAGGTATTCTTTAAATGTACATAAATTTTTTAAAGAAAAAATTCAGTCGTCATTTTTCATATAAGTATTCTAAACCATCTTAAGGTATTGAATGCATTCTTTTTATAAATTAAATTTTGCTATTAAAGAAAATTTGAAAACTGCAGAAAAATGTAAAAATGAAAAATACTAGGCAATCGTGTCATCGAAAGACAAATAAATGAAAAGGTTTTTAAAAATGTTTCCTTCAGTTTTCCTTTTTATGCATAGATTTTAAAAAATGGTTAAAACCATGAACTCTGTGTTAATAATTTTGTATCCTTTTTTATTTAAAGTACCTTTATATCTTAATGATAGTCATCTTTATCTTCATGCCTTATCACCAAATAAACATAGTTTGTATTGCTGCATAATAGTTAATCAAGTAGATAAACCATAGTTACCTTAACAACTTTAGTATTATTGCATAACTGGGTTGAATACATTCTTAATTAAACAGTAACAACAACAATGTTGAGAAGAGTACTAAGAGTATAATAGTTCTTTTCTGATACACTGAAATTTTCAAGATGTTCTTAATTTAAGGGAGTATATTTGAGAATTCAAAAAGGTCAAGGGATAAGCTACTTTTTAGATTTTCAAAGGAAAAATCAATTCGAATTTTTTTTTTGGCCATAAGTAGTGGCATATGTCATTTTTCTTCTATCATTTGATAAAATCAAATTTATTCCAAAAAATAACTTTCTCAACATTAAATATTCATAATATGAGTAAATTATAATTTTAAAAATTTTCCTTAGAAATTTATGCATTCAGTATTGATCACTAGAACAAGGATTGAATATATTATTTAGACATTAGTTTCTTGGTGTTTTGAATAATATATTCTGGCAAATTTTTCTCTTTCTTAGTCTGTGTATATAATACTTGGATATGGTCCATCTTATTGAAATGCAAATTTATTGAAAGGAAACCAGCATGTCCACTGAGATTTACGGTGTATAGCTTTTGGAAAAAACCTCATCTTATTATATGAAAGTCTACTGAATTAAGAGTAAGGAATTTGCAAACTATATAACTTCAAGTAATTAGTCACTTGTTTGGGTCTGCCCCTTGGATTTTTATGTTTTTGGAAGAGATCAGTAACGAGAGACTATTAAATTTGCACATTTCACATTTAATGAATGGCAATTTTAATTCCATTCTTTCTATAAAATTAATGTTTTATATCCATTAAAGGTTACAATTCCTGTGTTTGCCATTTAATAAATTATTTATTCTTTTGTTAAAATTAAAAAAACAAATTCCTACTAAGGACAAGTGATTGTTTGACTTCTCCATGATCTTCATGAGGATGTTCTTTATGAATAAGTTGAATTCTTATTTTGAAGAATGAAGATATTGATCATTGTTCTATGCTTAAAATTTTGAAGATATTTATATATCGCTGTATCTTTTGAAATAAATAAGAAGCAATTGCTTAATTTGTATAACAGCTGGTAATTATGATATGACAAAGTATATATGCTGCATTTTGAGGCCTATTGTATGCATATTCAGTTGTATATATGTGTACATATGTCTGTATATTTATGATTTTTTAAAATGGTGTGATTGAAATTAGCATATAAACTTTAAAAAGAAACATTATTTCTTCATTTAAAATTATTATGACACAAGCTGTTCTTTTGAAATATTATATTAATGTAGCAATTACCTGCTATTTGAGATATTAGATTTTATAGTCAGCTAATGATCTTGGTTTCTGTACATTGAAACAGTAGCCACAGGCACTCAGTCACGTGCTCATTCGTCTGGCTCTGATTTTCACTGTGATTCCCAAAGGAAGTTTGAACGCACAGGCTGGTGCCAGGCAAGGCTTCGTGGAGGAGGTGGGTGCACTTCAAAGAGGAGTAAAAGCCCATGAGACAAAGAGTGAGACAGCTTGATAGGTATTCACAGGACAACCAGGATAGCAGCAGGCAAGGAAAGAATGGTGGGAACACATTAGAACGCAGTGGAAAATGGCATTGGTTAGGTAGAGCGAGGTCAGTCTTTAAAGCAAAGTCTACATGTTTTTATTTATTTTTATTTTTTTTATTTTTGGAGACAGAGTCTCACTCTTTTGCTCTGGGTAAAGTGCAGTGGCACAATGATAGCCCAGTGCAACCTCAAATTCCTGGGCTCAAGTGATTCTCCTGCCTCAGCCTCCTGAGTAGCTGAGACTATAGGCATGTGCCACAACGCCTGCTATTGGCTATTTTTTTCTACTTTTAGTAGAGATGAGGTCTCACTTTTGCTCAGGCTGGTCTTGAACTCCTGGTTTCAGGCAATCTTCTCACCTTGGCCTCCCAGAGTGCTAGGATTATAGGCGTGAGCTACTGTGCTGAGCCCATGTTTTGACTTGATTCAGTAGTGGGACACCAAAGACTTTTGAGCTAAGAAGTGGCCTGATGAGAAGTATTTAAGGAACAGCCAGCAGGATGTGAAGAGGGCAGTGATCATAATCAAGTAATCCAGGAAGGGAAGGGAGGGACACCAAGGTTCCAGAGGTGGCTGGCCCAGGGCACACACCTGTGCAGCGTCAGGATCATTACCCTGATGATTTTGGCACGTGAACTTGTGCTCCATGTGCTCTGTGGGAGAAATACATTATGTTCATTTTAAAGTAAGTGCAATGTTTATGACTAGGCTGCATGTGGCCGCTGTGGTTCTTTTTATCTAGAGTCATGGTCAAAGGGTAATAACACTAGTGGGAACGTGGGGTCTTTTAAACTACAGTGCAAGGTTTGCTTAGGTGATCATGGCCTGCTTGGGCAGAGAGGAGACAGTCTGAAAAGCGTGTGCTTCTTTGTGATGCTGTTCTTGTGAGGTGACAAGTCGGGGGGAGGGGGAAGAGTTGTAAACATGTACAATTTGAAATTTTTTCCAACCAGTTTATCATAATTTCTCAGTTGGTTATTTTAATTGATATTAAGGAGGGATTATACTATAATTACGAAGTAATACTTTTTATTCTCCCACTAATGTGCATTAATACTTATCTGACATGAATTATGAGGTTCTATTAATACTACTTTGTACAGGATGTGAACATGTATTAAATACATAAAGGTAAGAAAAATACAAAAATTCCTTTTAAAAATGGATTGTAATTTCTTTATTGCAGAAAAACATGCTCTGCCAGTTCAAATCTCTGTATTATCAGAAATTGTTATTGATTATTCTTGGGATTATGGCACATATGTAAAATACGGACTATTGTCTAATATAATTCTGTTCTGACTCAAATGTAACTTGGAAGTTTTAAAGACCCTACAGCTACACGACATCATTTGATAATGCATTTTGGGGATTATTCGTCTGACCATAGATGATGGTGTGGTTATTTTGGAGCTAATGAAAAAGACTTTGGGAGCTGGATTATGGGAGAATGAGGGCCAAGCACGTCTGTTTCTACTCAAAACTTACTAAATAAAATAAGTCATCTGAGAAAAAAAAAATGCCACAATGTCATTCTTTAAACCACTTTTAGCTTTCTTGTGGCTTACCTCCTGTATGCCGGCCTTTGCTGCTTGATGACTTTCAGGGTTGACAAATGAAAAGAGTCACTTTAATTGGTGCCGATGCTGACTCAGGCTTCTGTCACATGTTTTTCCATCTTGGAATCTTTGCTTTGCAGGGACTGTCATGCTGGTAAAGGTCACTTGCAAGTTATGTCACTATTCTCTACTTGCTGTTAGGGTGAGAGCTGGCATGCAGGGTTTGCTGTTGACATTTTCAAATGCAGCATGACACTTTAGCCAAACTTACGGTGAAGTATTGAAAAAGACAATTAAGTGCCAATTTGTCCTCAAAGAAAAATTTTTATGAGTTCCCTTCATGCTAAATGTATGGAATGAAGTGGCGTTAAAGAGTGTATGTTTTGACCATGTGCAATGATAATGATTTAGTGTTTGTACATATCCATTTATTATGACAGGTAAATATATACTTCGTGTGTTCCATTGACTCATTCTGATTCTTATCGTGCAGCTCATTAAGTGATAGAGAATTTCTATGTAGACTGTCTCTGAAACCTATTAATAGAATATAATTTCAAAAGAATATTAGAAAAACAATGAATCAGACACCTGGAATGTTTGATTATTGAAAAGAAAATTCCTGGAATGGTATTCTTTTATTGCTTTAGAAATTTTGACAATATTTTTGGGCATAGAGCAAATAAATGTTAATTAGTTTTTGGTGTTTAATTTCATGTGATGTGTTAATGTTGTGAGTTAGAAGTGTTCCACTATTGAATGCTGACTGCATCCAATATATAAACATTTTTAAAATTTTTATGTGTTTCAATATGCATTTATAAAGCAAAGCTATTTTGAATAATTCAGTGGTTTGGGGACATCTGTGAATTGAATGATTATGTTGATATATTGTATATTACATTTTGTTATATATTTGTCTTTACCCATTAATTTCCAGCTGATTTCCATAGCAGTGGACACATTGTTGTTAATGGATGGAAGATACATAACACAGCAAAAAATAAATGGTTTGTTTGTATGGCAAAAACACCCGAAGAGAAGCATGAATGGTTTGAAGCTATTTTGAAGGAAAGAGAACGGCGAAAAGGTGGGTGTATGAAGTGGGCACTATTATTCTTTGTGAAGGTTCTAACTTAGCATGAGAGCAGATAATGGGAAACAGTTACGAGAAAGTGGAAAGATGTATGATGTTCACTTTGGTTTACTATGTGATGTGAGCCTCGTACTAAAATATTTTTTGAATACTTACAATACTATTGCTAAAATAAAAGAAAAACCTTTTATAGTTAGCAAAATAATTATATTATGGCTGGCAATGTCTTTTAAATAGTTTCACTTGCTTTAAAATTTGTTCAATTTTCTTTGCACTTTATTCTTGCCATTTCTAAAGCAGCATTACAAAGCTTTTCTTTAATGGACAAGTTTCAATAATAAAACGCAGTGTCATTGGGCCTCTACTTGTTCTTTGTATATTTAACAGTACACTGAAAATTCCTAGACCAACGTGTTAGTTTTCTAATTTTAGATGAACACATTTGGATATATACTAACTTCTTAAAATTGTTAGGCATTCAATGTAGGGTAATGCAACCCAATTAGTTGCTTGTTCACATGAGGGGGGCTAGCTCAAATTTGCTTTATGTTTTTGGAAAAATTTGCAAAAGGTATTTGGTGTGGCAATATTCAGTTATGTGAAATTTATCTGCAACAAGGCATATTTCTCTAATTCTGCTTGGAAATAGAAATGCTTGTATTTCTAGTAATTACTTTACCAGTCGATTTCTTAATTAAGAAGCATGACGCTGTTGATTTCTTTTCCCAGAGATCTAGGAATAAAACACCTCATTGGTAATGAAATTTTGAAACGCAAAGAGCCCTTTCTTCTATCTTCAGGTGTTTTCCCGTGAAGAATATACGCGGTTTCTACCTTGATTAAAATATTCATAGCACACATTAGTAGAAGAATTTCCAAAGCCTTTCAAATACTCCTTTAATTGATCTTGGATGCAGAAGCAGATAGAAATTTTTAAAACAAAAGTTATGAATACATAACTTACTCTTTGTTTTGTTGAATCTAGTAATCAATTCAAATAGCAAAGCAAATAACTTAAAAGGTGAATCAAATTTTTCATCAAGTTGAAAATCTTTTCTTTTCTTTTCTTTCTTTTCTCTTTTCTTTTCTTAGACAGAGTCTCTCTCTGTTGCCTGGGTTAGAGTGCCGTGGCATCATCTTAGCTCACAGCAACCTCAAACTCCTGGGCTCAAGTAATCCCCTCCCAAAGTTCTAGGATTACAAGCGTGAGCCATTGGCCTGAACTTGACTGTGACCCACCCAAGACAAAAATCTGAAAGCAAAAAACAAAAACAAAAAAAACCCCAAAACAAGAGAAAAAAGTTATCCATTCTATAAAGCTGTTTTGTGATATTTATCTTTATCATGCTCTGTTCTTAAGGGATTATTCACTCTTGTAGACAAATGGTAATGGCCCCTGCATTGTAAAACATAAAATTTTAGAGACTAAAAGTAGTTCAAATATTTATTCTTCCTCTGTGGCAGTTCCTTGTCAGTCCTGGTTAAGTGCTGGTCTTCCCAGGATTTCAGCTTGGCACTGTTCATCTCTTAACTAGATTCTTAGCCTGCGTTATCTATTCCCACCAGATTAACTTCCACTTTTACATGGCAATTTCTCAATCTTTATGTCCAGTCTTGTCCTCCCCCCTGAACTGCATAACCATGCCTTCAGCTGAACCCAGGACACCTGCCTGAGCGCCCACACAGAGCACACCACTACCAGCTGGGCTCCTGGTTACTTGGGCACCTTTGCCCAACAAGCCTCCCCTCTCCGTTCAGTTACTCTCATCAGAAGCTGGGAGGCATCCTGATTTCTTCTCTCTCCTTCATGCCGCTTTTCTCCAGTTGCCGAGTCCTATCAGTACCACCTCCAAGCCATTTTTCAACTTCATCTTCTTTGCCCTGTCGCCTCTACTCTTATTTGCAGGAGGCTGAACTTGCTTAACTTTTGCAGTTTTCTTCTAATGGTCTTCCTCTTTGTAAACCTTTCCCCTTTCAGTTTGTTCCCTACACTATCCTCTGAGCTTTGTTTCTAAAGCAACACAACTTTCTTTTGTGCACTACCCTACCCTTCTCCTCCTACTGGTCAAAACACTTAGATGTTTCCCTGATACCTAAGGAATTGAAGTAAGTTGAAACCACGGGGTGAGCAAGGACACTGCCTAAACTGCCCCGCATCTCTCCTGTCTTCTCATCTAAAGCCCAGGGCTCCGGGGCTCTGTGTCGCTTCAAATTAGTTAGCCCTTGTAAACACTCTCTCTTTCTCTAGAAATACCTATTCATACTTGTGCATTTAAGACGGAGCCCTTCTGTGAAAACTTTCTTAACGTTCCTCAGGGAGAGGTGAGGTACCCTGAATATGCCTCTGATTGTATCACAACTTTTCCCCGAGGGCTCTCTCCAGGGCTTCTCTGTCCAGTGCTGCTGACATAACCCTGCCCAAGGGTGTTTGGCCCAGGGGTCCATGGAGGCCGCACTGTCACTGCTTTCTTACTCCACTGGCCTTCATTATGCCTTTGGGGCACGATTTCCACAAAGGTGCCATAGCCTTGGGGATCTTGCCTTGATGGTCTCCCTAGTTACCCTGAGCTTCTTGAAAACCAGGGCCCTATCTTATGGACCTCTGAATCCACAATCCCCAGCACATGGTAGGCTTGCAATAAGTGCTCGTTTAGTGAAGGCGTGAACAAATAAAAGAAGAGATGTTTTCACTTACCTGTCTTTTCTCTCATTTTTCTTAGGCTTAAAATTAGGAATGGAGCAAGACACCTGGGTAATGATCTCTGAACAGGGCGAAAAACTTTATAAAATGATGTGCAAACAAGGAAATCTGATCAAAGACAGAAAAAGAAAACTGACTACGTTCCCTAAATGCTTTCTTGGAAGGTAGGGTTGATAGTCTGAGCGCATGCCTGTCTTTCTTTCATATTCTAAGTTGACACAAAAGTGTCGACTTCCCTTTAATTATTTGTTTTTCTTGTAAAAATATTTCCCTAAGCATTTTTGAATACTTGTTTACAATTGACATTTCCTGGGCCACAGCAGGATGAGGGAAAGGACAGAGAGCCAGGATCATGACCAGGAAACGTGAAGCATCCATCTGAGACAGAGCAGGGACAGAACTTCGCCCCAACCCCGCTGACATACCTCTCGTGCTTGCTAACCACAAGACCTTGCACCACCCAGCGTGGCTATCTGAAGAAGCTAAGATAAACAACATTTCCCTGTAAATCTTACCCGAGGCAGTCGGCCCTACCACCCGCAGATGCACAAGACCAGGAGAATGACCTATCATGGCTCCTTGCCCCCTTAGACCACTGACCTCCCTGCCCCAGGGGCTTATCCGCCAATTGTTAATCATGCCATGTGTGTAACAACAGGATTTCTCACTGTGCCTGCGCACCCTACACCCCACCCACACATGTAACGGTGCTCACTTATTTCATGAATTATTCTATCACCCTCCTAAAAACACCACAAAGCCCTACCCTCAAGGAGCCAGCCAGACAACTCTTCCTCCTATGCTGTTTTCCTTGTGCTCTAGCGTAAGACCAAATAAAGCCTTGTCTGGGGAGGTTCTTGACCTCATGTCAATTTCTATTCTTTTCTATTTCATCTCTGTTGCATGGGAATCCAAGAACCTGCAGCTGGTAACACTTTCATTCATTCATGATTTCCACAATTTCTGATATGCTGGGATCCCAGGGCAAAGTGGAGATTGGGGCCAGGCAGCGAGTGGCTGGCGGGTGGCCTGTAGGGGACAGGATGACTGGTTTGGCGTGGACGTGGGTACTGGGCCTGAAAGTCAGGGAAGAGATGAGTGAGCCGAGGACACGCAGTCTAAACTACTGGTAAATGCACAATTTAGACAGCTGGACTCAGGATGAGATGCCTGGATGAAGAGTCTGGAAAGTGGGCCATGCGAGGGCAGGCACAGAGCACCAGGCAGGAGGTCACCCTGATTTTCAGCACAGGACAGATTGCAGGTTTGTTGTTTGGTGTCTGCAGACAGCGTTAAGTGGGATTCCCTGGCCTGTCTAATCAGTGCAGGGCCAAAAGGAAGGCTAGCTGCCTTTGGGTAGCTCTTCTGAGGCCAGGCTCTGTGCTGGCTTCTATACATGATTTGTAATACTTGAATGCATACTTAGGAGGTGAGTAACTTTATACTTTTTAAAGATGCAGAAACTGTGGCTCGTGGAGCTCAACAATTTTGTTTGGTTAGTGAATGCCAATGTCAATTCTGTAAAGTAGACTGGAGTACTAGTTCAAAGTCTAGACTGTGATCAAACGCTCTCTGTTTAATTCCTAGTGCTACCACTGGTTTGTTGTGTGGTTTGGGAAAGTTAAGTTTCTATTTCCTCTGGAAACATGGAGATGATCACATTGTTTACCTGCAGTGCCCACTAGGTTGTCTTTTTAACTAGCTATGGGGACATGTAACATAACCACAGACCACACTACGCCCAAAACAACCAACTCAGAAATGCACAGGCCAGGAAACCCTCTGCCTGCAAGGCAGCGACTGGATCTCTTCGTCAGTGGGCGTGGTCCTCACGGCTGCAGGTGAGCTCTGCTGTCGTTGGCAGGTAGCTCCCCAGGTGATAGCTCTTGTGCAAGGAAAGTGCAGATGTGAGTTCACCTTGGCATAGAAGCCCCATGCAGCAAAAAGACAGTATCTCTTGTAACGACTCCATGGGTATAACCTCCAGAGTCCTCGCTGGGACTTGCCCATGTTTAAGAGTCACTTCAAGCTGTGTCTTCCCAGCAGGTTTTTATATGTATACAGTTTAGCCGTCAAAGGTCAATTTTACCATAGCAATGCTGCCTAGTAACAGCTGACATCCTACCCTCATCAGATGTCTAGAGAAACGCAGAGAGAAAGTTAGCCCAGTGTCCAATTTGCCCTGTTTGAAGGAGGATGGGTTTTGCTAACTCTTTCCCCACACTGTCGCATATGGTCCTAGTCCCAGTTAGTTGTGATGAAAGCAGCTCCCGGAGCACCTGATAGGTAGGAGAGACTCAGTGAATGTTAGCTGTGGTTGTCATGGCCTTTTCCATAACAGCGCTCTGCAGCTGTCTGACAGCCCAAGTTTGAGGTTATTTCTGAGTGGATCATGATCCTTCAGCAGAATGTTGATGGAGTCTCCCTGTTACCTGAGTATGTCCCATGATAAAGCCACTCATTCACTTCCTTTCTATCCCTCCCACTCTTTTTTTAAAAAACTACCAATTCATAGCAGTATGTAAATTGGCTCCTCCCCTCATTTTAATTTGGTTGAATTAATGCAATTTTCAAGAATCTGGTGTCATCAGAATGGAGAATTAGGCTTTAGCTGCATATCGGCCATCTCAACCCACTTGTCAACTGCTGATGTTCATTTAGTAAGAGCTCACCATGTGCTAGGTGCTGTGCTGAGTTCCTGACATCTGTCATCTCCTGTAATCCTCTGTCAGCTACACCGCTGACTTTCTTATTATTATCTCTGTGTCATTGATGAATACACTGAGGTTTAGAGAGCTAAAGTTACTAACACAAGGGCACACAGTAGTGGAAGCACAAACGGGATTTACATCCAGGTAGTCTCATTGCAAAGTACTTGGCCTTAGCTGCTGTACTTTATTGCACCTTTTCTTATTTTCCTTATTTTGGATCGTTCTTATTTAATAAAAGAATAAAAAACATTTTAGCAACTTTTTCTGCCTTAAAGTGTATTTTTTAGACTAGACAATCAACTTTTAGCATTTTAAATCCCTTGATTATTTGCCTTTTGCTGTTTTTGTTGCTTTTGGTTTTGAAATAAATGGAAAGACAATTTCCTGATGCTTTCCACAGCCGTGTTTCTCTGGCCAAAACTCCAAAATCAGTCTAAAATAAATTCATCTGTTTATGTAAAAGTGCAAATGTTAGATTTTTAAAACATGAGCATGATAACCTTTTTTATTTGTAAAGTGTCTCTGTATTTAGTGTTCTCTTAATGATACCACATGACCATTTTTAAAAAATCAGCTGCATAGCTGAGTCTCTCCTAAGTGACACAGAACATCATCCTTATTATCTGTGATGCCTGAGGCTGCCCTGCAGTGGTGAAAGATGTGAGCTGTAATCCTCGGTGGCCTTCACAGCCACGGCACAGGTGTGTGTAGACAGTTCTGATGGATGGTTCTGCACTGGAGTACTGCTTAGGGATGACAGTTTAGATACAATAATGAATTTACCAAGTAATTTTAAAATTTCAAAACAAGGGGTATTTGCATACACAAAGAGTGCAATGTGCACCATCCAAGTGCGCACACTTGAAACTTGGACTTAGGAGGGGAGTGGGGAGGCAAGGGCAACATACATAACCTAAACGTCTGTACCCCCATAATATGCTGAAATAAAAAATAATAAAAAATAAAATAAAAAAATAAAGAATAAAATAAAAAAAAATTTCAAAACAAGGTAGTAAAACTTTTCTGTGTCTTTTGGTGTGTATTAATTTTCTGTTGGCACATACCAAATGAGCACATACTTAGCTTCTTAAAACAACACCCATTCATTAGCTCACTTGCAGTCAGAAGTCCAGGAAAACCCAACTGGGTTCCCTGCTCGGGGTCTCCCAATGCCAAAATCAAGGTGTTGGCCAGACTGTGCTCTTATCTTGAGGCTCTGGGGAAAGGTTCACTTACAAGAGCATTCATGCTGTTGGCTGCATTCATCTCCTTGAGGTTGCAAGAATGAGATCCCTATTTCCTTGCTGACTGGCAGCCAAGGGCTGCTCTCAGCTTCTGCAGGCTGCATTCCTTGGTACAGGGCCCTCTTCATCTTCAGAGCTAGCAGAGGCGCATTGAATCCTTCTCATGCTTTTAATTTCTGTGACTTCCTCTCGTGCCACCAGCCTGAGAAAACTCTGCTTCAAAGGGCTCAACTGATTGGGTCAGGCCCACTAGGATAATTTCTATACTTTTAAGTCAACTGACTTGGGATTTTAATTATATATATGAAATCCCTTCATGGCAGTGCCTAGATGAGTATTTAATTGAGCAGCCAAGGATGGGAATCTTGGTGGGGGTGGGAGGGTTGTGAGAAGATTTCTTTAGAAATGGTACATGCAGTTTTGCGTTGTTTTTGCTGCTGGATTTTTAAACCCACTGGTTCTCTGTGCCTGGGAAGCCACATTAAAGACAGTGTAACTCTTTATATTTAGTCATTATTACTCTATCTAGTTCTGACTTTTAGTTCTCTTTAGGATCTGTTGCATTTCCTTTAGTCCCAAATTTGCCTTTATGTAGATAGTAGCTTTATAATTAAAGCTACTCTAAACTTTTTATTTTGTGATTATTAGAGGCCTTAACAAGTTGAAGAGTTTAAAACTAAATACAGTTTAGGAAAGTCCGAATGTATAGATATGTGTTTTTTAGAATAGAGTCCAATTTAAATGTCCATGAGCCTTACATAAGAGAAAAAATATCTACTGAAATGTATTGCAAATATTCCTTTATATTTTGAGATTCCCTTCATAGTTGCTTTTTAACTGCATGGTACAGATAGACTTTGGGGGGTGGGGCGGGAAAATAACCATTTAACTTTTTCATTGGCTTTCCGTTGCAGCGAATTTGTGTCATGGCTGTTGGAAATTGGAGAGATTCACAGGCCTGAGGAAGGTGTTCACTTGGGACAAGCATTATTAGAAAATGGGATCATTCACCATGGTGATTACATTATTCATTACTTATTTAACCTATTTATTCACGATTTTCATTGTTTAATTCCACTGATCAGTTGAATTTATAATTTTCCGCATTATAGGATGCTTATGTTTTTTTCAGCATTTTCAGTACCTAGTATGCATGGCACAGTGTTTCAGGGAGCTTTCTTATCTGTATGACTGAGATAGTTCAGGAGGAGCTGGTTAGAGAGCGATGATGAAGGATTTGCTGTGGATGGTGTATGAGACATCTGGGGGGAGTGTCCAGGAAACAGTTGAAAATTGGGTGTTTCTGGGTGGAAACAAACCCACTCAATGTGTTTTTTTCTATTCTCTCACTCAACAACAATCAACACAGAATGATTCAGTGACCAAATGTGTGTGGGCTTTCAGCAGTTAGTTCCGCAGCAGACACTAGCTGGGTGGGTAACCTCCAATTCAATCCTGACACGATCTACCTGGAGATCCCAAAGGTTGAGGCTCAGTGCCCAAGGCAGCGCCCCCTTCAGATGCCAGTCGTAAGTCCGAGCTTCCGGGCCTTCTGTCTGACTGGCTTCAGTTGGGGTTCCCATGACCCCTTTTTGGATTCAATTACTTTGCTAGAGCAGCTGACAGAACTCAGGGAAACATGTTTATTGGTTTATTATTGTATAAAGGACATTGCAAAGGTTACAGATGAAGAGATGTATAGGGCAAGGCATGTGGGAAGGGCGCACCACCCTCCAGGAACCTCCGTGTGTTCAGCAACCTGGAAGCTCTCTGAATCCTGTCCTTTTGGGTTTTCATGGAGGCTTCATTACATAGGAATGATTGATTAAAGCATTGGCCATTGGCGATTAACTTAACCTTCAGCCCCCTCTCTCCCCTCCCTGGAGATTGGGGGTGGGCTGAAAGTCGCAACCCTGTAATCCTGCCTTGGTCTTCCTGGTGACCAGCCACACCCTGAAGCTACCAGTGATCAGTCTGGGGCTGCCAGTGATCAGTCAACTCATTAGCATACAAAAAGGCATCACTTTGGAGTTTCTAAGGATTTTAGGAGTTGTATGTCACAAGTCTGGGATCAAATATGAAATGTACATTTCAGAGGTTCACAGGTGTGAAGCTCGGGGTAGAAATAGGCGAGAGACATTGGGGAGTCATTTCAAGAGAGTAGCAGATCCCTGAGAACACTGACAACAAACAAACAAAAAAACAAGAAAGCAGTGATAATGAGACTAAAGAGAAAAGCTTGAAGAATTTCCTATGTAAAATGTGGGGGAGGAGAAGGTGACAGGGAATTATTAATAAATATGGATATTTGGCTATAGTATTTTAATGTGCATTTCCTATCTTAAATAAAGTGGTGCACACACAAACCAGATCTTTCCAATGTTTCCTTATTACTCTGGGTATCACCTGTGCGATGGTACCACCATCTACCCAGCTAGGAATCATCTTTGATGCCTTTCTCTCCCTCATGCCATCGAGCCCTGTGAGCTCTACCACCCAGATAATTCCCTCATTAGATCAGTCCTCTCCCTTCCAGGATCCTCACCTTCTTCCCAGTCACCATCATCCCTCCCTTGTTTCCACTTTTGTTTCCCACCCCCACAGTCCACACTCCAGGTAACAGCTAAAGAGATCTTTTAAAGCAGGTATAAGATCAAAGCATTCCCCTGTTTACATCATCTAATGGCTTCCCATCAAACTTACAGAAAAGTTCGGACCTCTTACCATGGCCTAAACCTCTTAGCATCACCCACTAGGCCCTAAATGATAGGGTCTCTGACTTCCTCTCAGAGCTTGGCACCCAGCCTTGAACCTAACGTGTTACACTGAGGCCACCCTGGCCTTCTGTCTCTTCTTTCAACACTACAAGATGACTTCCTATTTAGAACCTTAGCTTTTGCTGTTCTTATTAAATAATTGTTTACTAATTCCTAATATATGCCAGGAAGCTTTCTAAGTGCTGGAGGTATAGCAGTGGATGAAAAGACAAAAGTCCTTGTATTCATGACTCGTCGTCTATGACCCTCCGACTTTTAGAGGCCCATCCAGTCCTGTCATTCCAATACACTGATTTTTTTTAATTTTAGAAACTTTCTTTGTGCACTTATTACCATCTGAAATTATCATGTTGCTTTACTTGTTTCTTTGCTTGTTATCTCTTTATCTCTCTACTCCCTACCCTGGCCCCCAATCAAAATATAAGCACCAGCAGAACGGGAGCCTTGCTTGTTGTTATATAGCAAATGCCTGGAGTGCCCAGCCTGTAGCAGTGCTCAATAAATATTGGCTGGATGAATAAATAAATGAATAATTATATTTTGAATGAACAGATGATACTTTTAAATTGTATTTGATTTTGTACTTTATTCATTAGCGTGTCTTAGGCTAAAAAGCATCATTTAAAAACTTTCAAGTAAAAAGTATAATTATTATATACTATCATTATAAAATGTTTATAAATATTATATAATAATTAACCTGTCTTGAGTGTAATTCCACAGATTTTATATTAACCTGGGAGCTAATCCTCAGTGGAAGAAATTGGGTACTTATTTACCAAAATTGGTTTAGCTTTTGTTTTTCATGGGCATGAGTGTAATACATTTCTCAGTTTTCCTTGCAGTCAGGGGTGGCCATGTAATTGAGTTGCAGCCAAGGACATGTACACAAAAGTGGTGCACATGGGAAGTGTACAAGCTATTAAAAAAACAAAAGCCTCAAAACTTCAAGGTGACCTTTAGAAGCATTGAGGATGGCTGGGCCTCTGTCAGATACCTAAAACCTGCAAGGGGCAGAGCACCATGAACTCATCCTCCACCACTGATTGGACTTTACATACGTGAAAATTAGCTTCTACAGTGTAAGCCACTGTGTTAAGGAGGTTTGTTTGGTATAGCAGCTAGTGTTCACCAGTAGGAAACCAGCTAATTTTTCTTCTCAATATTCCCTGCAAAAAATTAGTTCCCCCATTCTAATGGGAAAGGAAATATGACAGCAGCTGTATTTCATGATGGACAGGGTAAAAAGACTTGAAACTACCACACCCTGGAAATAAAGATCACTTGTTCATGTTTACATACAAACTGGGAGAAAGAGAATATATCATGTAATTTCACATTAACAGAGTAATTCTATTAGAATGAAGAGGTATGAACCAAAAGTGCTAGTTTCGTTAGTATGTGATTCCAGCTGCATTTTAGCGAAAATAGGATTGCTAAAATAAAGTTTAATGAACCATCTAGCTTTTCTGTATTTTCATATACCAGGTTTTATTTTATCATGTTTTTTGAAGCAGTTATTAATATAAAACGAAATGAAAATAATTTTTTTATAAGTTGGTTTTTCAAAAAGATAAACAAAATTGACAGCCCTCTTGCTAGATTGACAAGAACTAGAAAGGAAAGGATTCTAATAAACTCAATTAGAAATGAAAAAGGAGAGGTCACTACAGATATCACGGAAATACAAAACATTATTTTTGAATACTATAAAAATTTATATGCCCCAAAACTACAAAACATGGAGGAAATGGACAAATAATTAGAAACACACAACCTTCCTAGGCTCAATCAGGAAGAAATAGAATTCCTGAACAGACCAATATCAAGCACAGAAATTGAAGCAACAATTAAAAATCTTCCAACAAAAAAAAGTCCCGGACCAGATGGGTTCACATCTGAATTCTAGCAAACGTACAAAGAAGAGCTCATACCTATACTTCAGAAATTATTCCACAACATTGAGGAGGATAGTGTCTTCCCCAGCTCATTCTACGAAGCCAATATCGTCTTGATACCAAAGCCAGGAAAGGACACAACAAAAAAAGTAAACTATAGACCAATAGCCCTCATGAACGCAAAAATTCTCAACAAAATCTTAGCAAACTGAATCCAGCAACACATCAAACAAATAATTCACCATGACCAGGTGGGCTTTATCCCAGAGATACAAGGTTGGTTCAACATATGCAAATCTATAAATACAATTCACCACATAAATAAAAGCAAGAACAAAGATATTATGATTCTCTCAGTAGATGCAGAAAAAGCATTTGACAAAATCCAGCATGCTTTTATGATAAAAACTCTTAACAAATAGGCATAGATGGGACATACCTTAAAATTATTAAAGCCATATACGATAAACACACAGCCAATATTATACTGAATGGGGAAAAACTGAAAGCATTCTGGCTTAGAACTGGAACCAGACAAGGTTGCCCACTGTCTCTACTTCTATTCAACATAGTGCTAGAAGTCTTTGTCAGAGCAACCAGACAAGAGAGGGCAATTAAGGGTGTCCAAAGAGGGGCAGAAGAGGTCAAACTCACTCTTTGATTATGATGTTATATCTAGAGAATCCCAAGGATTCAACCAAGAGACTCCTGGAATTGATAAATAAATTCAGTGAAGTGTCGGGATACAAAATTAATGCACACAAATCAGTGGCATTCATATAGGCCAGTAACAGTCAAGCCAAAAATTAAATCAAAAGATGCAACACCTTTCACAATAGCATCAAAGAAAATTAAATATTTAGGAATATATTTAATGAAGGAGGTGAGAGACATATATAGGGACAACTAGGAAACACTGAGAAAAGAAATTGTAGAACATGTAAACAGATGGAAAACCCTACCATGCTCATGGATTGGCAGAATCAATATTGTTAAAATGTCCATAATACCTAAAGTAATCTACAGAATTAAAGCAATCCTTCTCAAAATACCATCATCATTCTTTACAGATCTAGAAAAAATAGTTCTATGCTTTGTATGGAACCAGAGAAGACCTCATATAGCCAAGGCAATCTTAAGCAAAAAGAAATTGGGAAGCAAGTCTATCAGACTTCAAGCTTTACTGCAAGGCTATAGTAACTAAACAGCATGGTACTGGCACAAGAACAAAGATATAGACCTTTGGAACAGGACTGAACCATCTGTTTTAGAGACAGCAAGCAAAAAAAAAAAATTGTCTATTATTGCTATTCTTCACATTGCAAATATTGTTGAGCACT